TTATTCTTCAGAACTCGGACTTCCATCTGTTGTTGCATTCATGTAATGCTCCGATTCGAGTAGGTACGATGACTCTTGAGCTCGACGTCTTGCCAAGAGCCAATCTTGGTTGCAAACCAGTGTTTCAAGAGATTCAGCGCTAAGACAACTTCGAAAGTCGGTTAGAATGTTGCCGCTAGCACTGAATTCTCGTTCAACTACTACGGTTGATATCGGAACGGATAACACTTGTCTTGCTAGCATGCCGAGACATGGGAACATGTGTTTGTTCCGCTTCCACCATCCGAGCACATCAAAATCCACGTCGTCGTCGTCGTAATCGCATGGCACACCCTGGTACATAGCAATTTCGTTGTGCGAGCTTACTGTTGTACCACTTGAACTCGTCGAAGAATGAGCACGCTTCCCTCTCTTTGCAAGAAGACCACCGACTATTCCGGCAAAACCTTTTTTTGATTTCGGAGGTGGAGGTGGTGCTGCTTCTTCTTGTACAGTGCCGTATAACCCCTGATATTCCTCAAACAAATTCTCAAAAAAAGTTACAGCATTATCTCTTTCTTTTTTCCATTCTACTAAATAACTGTAGTAATAACTATTTTCATCTAAAAAACAACTGTAGTAATACTCAATTAAAATTTTATAATTTTCAATCTTAAAGCTTGAATCACAAATAATACCTATTTTATAAATATCAGGAATGTACAAATAATAAGCACACCATTTTTGTATCATAGGAGAGACATATGGGTACAAATAATAAGCACACCATTTTTGTATCATAGGAGAGACATATGGGTACAAATAACTTTGATTTATATTTTTTTTACATTTATCCGGACCTCGAGAGGTCGCGGGCTCACCTGCCTCCACGCCGACGTCGTTGATCTGCGGTGTAGGCTCCTCGTCCCCGTCCAGATTATCCAGATGTGCTTCATCAACATCTTCGAATACACTATCAAAAGTGGGGAGATTTCCGTCACCTCTACCAGAATAAATCTGGTCGAATTCTTCATCCGTCATAGCGTCCCCGATTAAGTGATCGGGGATAGCAGGAAAGGAAGAGACGGAGTGTCTTCCTCGAGAAACGCGTGAGGTCGAACCGTCGGAGGTGGCTTTTGCTTTGCCTCTACTCGAACTTCGGTTCACGGCGCCCATATCCACGGACCTTCTACCGGACT